CCAACATTGTTATATACCTCAATACACTTGTACTAAAAAAAGTATAACAAATCAACTCACCTAACAAACAAACAATTAGGTTGTGGAATAATTTGAGGACAAAAGATACTATTCCTTGAACAACTTATTAGCAGTTATAACTCACTTTTGGTCCTAAAATTCAAAACAACAAAATCGCTGCATCCTTTACAGAATACAGATCCCCTCTGACTGAGAAACACTACATGTGTGCTCTCACAAAATTCATTTGCAAACACATTGCATATACATAAATATATTTTAAATCTATACAACAAGAAATAATTTACTCGAAGCATTACAAATAATATTTTTTCAAGAAACCGGAAAGTAATCCCGGATCGTCTTTCTTTTCAATGACGAAGGAGGATTTAGAACTGAGGACGGGCTACTGTATTCAGCTTCCGGTGTTTTATCTAAGTTTTCTTTGACTTCGAAACTTAGGGAGAATTTTTTCTTCATAGACTCGGGGGTACTTACTTCGGGGGTTCTGTTAGGCTGTGGCGAGTCCACATGGCACGTTTCACTAAGGCACGTGCTTTCTAAATCGGTCTTTTTGCAGGAGGTTTCATCTAAGAACAGTTTTTTCCTTTCTATTTTGGGAAATGACCTCACTATCTTTCTCATTGATGATGGAGACCGAGTACTTGAATAACAGCTGTTTTTTATGTTCCAAAATCTAACCTGCATGAGATTATATAGGAAGTTTATATAGATTCTGGATTTGTTATGTAGCATTATACTATAATACATTTTTTTTTTTTCTGGAGCTTTTAAGGTACAAAGCTTACAGTGAAATCATCAGAGCAAGTTGCCACTTTCCCAGTCTCTGATGGGCACCTAGATTAAATTAAGTGCCGAACAGAAATGTAAGAGCTTATACAAAAACTAAAAGGCAAAGAAAAAAAAGGATGATTGATGTAATATGTGCTCGTTAAGACTTACCAATCTACAGCTGTGACTTCACCATCATGGCTTTTCAAAGTGATAGGATCACATTGAGGTTTTTTCACCTGCCATATGTAAGCATTTCCATCACTCGACCCGCTCAGTATGTGAGCAGCATCAGGACTTATTGCTGACTGCATAGGACATATTATATTTGTGAGCAATTAAAATTGGATACAACTAGGCTGAAACAACTGGACATATAACAAACTTGTGAAGTATAACCTTCACGAAGAATGACTCAGTTCGGCCTCCGGAAAAAGTTTTTGCCGGCCCCTTTTCAAGCTGAAGCACATTGTATAGGTATATTCTGAAAGGAAGCAAATGTTATTAACCAAGCTTTGTTGTATAGGTACATTCTGCCTTTAAATTGAATAATGCATCAGTACATTACGAAAGAACAAAATATCCAAAAGACTTGATGGGTAACAGTATGAAAATGAATTTGGAACAAGTAATTCACCTGTGATCCATACAAGAGGCCGTAACAAACACACCATTCAAATCTTGAGACAGGCTGGATATGCCATGTCTCTTTTCCTGAAATAAGGATGTGATTTTGTTTTTAAGTAACATGCTATGAGAGAATCTTAATGCACCTATAACTTGTTTGTACAAAGGTCTTCAACTCTGCACGGTGATTTAAAACTGTCGTAGAGTAATTCAGCATAATACGGTAGCTAATACATTTTGCTGCTCCTCTGTGCCCTCAGGTTTGTTTGAAGCTCATTTCGAAAAAATATATATCATTTTATCATATTAACTGATCAACAATTATATTTCTTGTATGCCAATATTCTGAACCAGTTACATTTCAAAATGTTTTTTAAATAAGATCACAGCAAATGTGATTATTCTAATATTTTGGATAACACTTCTCCCAAGAAACTCCTTAAGCTTCCCTCATGCTTTACCATATTGGTGTCCCTATTGGGTTGTGTAAGACTCACCTTTGTTGATGACTCGGGATTAGGACATGCACAAATAACTGGACCTTTAAGATGTCTCGTGTCCCAGAACTTGATAACACTGAAATTTGAAACAAAAAAAAAAAAAGATAGACCAACATTATTTAATGATTCAAGGTGTGCATAGGACACACACACACACACTTGAAAGTATTATAGTGGATATAATGTTTTCCACAAACCTGTCAACTGCACCAGCTGTAGCAACAGATACTTCATCCTTGAGATAAAGCACGGATGTGATGCTCATGGATTCAGCCTAGAAGGGACTAAAGTCACTTGAACTGAAGTTGTTTTACATTCAAAACATAATAGATATACACAAATAAAAATACCTTCCCACGTCTGCAACGTCTTCGACCAGAAGAAGTGTGAGCCCCGGGCATTTTATCAAATGGACTGAGAAATTCAGCATCATGATTAGAAATACTTCATATTCTGTAGTTTTTTAATTAAGCTGTCATTTTTTTAAAGATAGACCTTGCATCTAAAGTGTTGAAAAACCTGATTCGTTTATCATATGCTACTGGAAAGAGATGGTAGAACTTACTCCCTCAAATTCAGCTTCTGATTGGTATTATCTGAGCATCTGGTGTCCCATAAAGCAAATGAACCATCTCTTGATCCAGACACAACAAGGTCTGCGAAACATAATAAAACTATATTAAACCAGAACAAATATGATGAATGATAATATGAAACTTGAAAGAAATCAAATGGACAAATATGATGAATGATAATATGAAACTTCAGTTGCTTACTGTGATTAGTAGGGTGGCAACTGATGGACTTCACACTTCCTGTGTGCCAGGTCAATACCCTTATGCATGTCTGCTCTTGTACATCCCAAACCTTGATCTAGTTATATAATGTTGAGCTTTTTCAGAAATTAGAGTCATAAAACTGAACAAAGGAACACATTGAGCTTTTCGATCTCCCAGCAAAATGTTTGCTGATGAGAAGGGCAATTAGTGTCATTTCAAGAACTGAGGTGACTTACACTTTGATCACCTGAAGCTGTTAAGATATTTGCATCATCCTGGAGGGCACATTGATCCGGTCAGTTGTTATGATGTGAACAATTTATACCAAGGCAATGCATGCACAAAAAGCAATTTGGTTTTAGTTTATTTAGTTTAATGTCAACCTTAAGGTTAGAAAAAAGTGAGGCACAATCCTTTAGTCATTACCATCAATTAACTTAGTCTATTACGTCAACAACCTGAACCTGATGCAAGACTGAGTTCATGGCTTATCTTTTAAAAACTCAAAAAGTATGTATCCTTTCCTAAAGTAAAATGACCAAATGATTGAGTCTCTTGAAATGGGCTTTGCAATTTTGAGACACAACCGTAACAATTCTGAAGCTCCAAACTCAAACAACTGTTATATCATAAATCATTTTCAATGCATAATATGGAGTATTTTGAGCAAGAAATTACCGATAGATTTGACCTGTAATCATTAATGAGGTCAGTAAAGTACTAATGTCAGACAATTCCCATCAACTTTTTTCAAGTAAAACTTCAAGACAATAAGATTGAAAGTGAATAATCATCGCATTACGTTTGATGATTAAGTTGATAGAACAGTACCACATGTCAAAATGCAATTTGTTTAAATTAGTAAACACCCAATACAACCCACTGTATATTTCTATTTTCTACAAAAAAAAAAAAATACAAAATTAGAGAGATGAGACAGATGTAAACCTTGTTCCAACACAGATCAAATATGGCATTGTTATGACCCACCCACTCGGAAACTTTGGCTTTTTCTGCAGAAAAAAAATTAGACGCAACCATTCACCCCCAATACAAAGCCATAGCCAATGACCAAACATCCTATAACAAAAGGACATTAATTTACCTGCATTTTCTTGGTAAGATGATGAATCCACGAACCTCTTCCTAGTATCAAACAAATTTACATAACCCCCCTCATCACTGAGAGCAAGAATGTGGCCGGTCTTGCTAGTCTACGCATCACAAGACAACATGTCATTTACTGATTTACAATCATTCAGCTGAAATCTAAACTTGCACTCACAATAACAATATAAAATCAACCTTGCCGAACGATAAAGCCATTGGAGGAGAAGGCTCGCCTCTGTGCTCAACTGCTACAGCTCCTGCTGGATCCAAATCTCTCATCTCGTTGGTAGGGTATGGGCGCTTTTTTACTGAGGAACAAAAAAAAAATAATAATACATATGATTCAGACCGAAAATTTATGATACAAAACCATAGGAGCCACATAAAACAACACCTTATTGAAAATTACCTCTGAATCCATTGACTTCTCTTAGCTTCAGATCTTCGAAAAACGATGGAGGTCGTGGAGTTTCCATTCTCTGCTGCTCGTGGAGTTTCGTCTTCTACCACGCGCCGGCAGGGGAGCGTGGAGTAGTGTGTGTGGATATTGAGGGGGCTTGAATGGATGGAGTACGGTGGAAAAGCGGTGGAGATTTTTGTGGGAGGGTTTAATTTGGCGCGAAGAGCGGGTGCCCGTCGGTGGCGGGAAGATTTGAAAATTTTCGGTCTTTGGGTGTTGAATGGAGTTTGGCGGTATAGCCGGGGAGTTTGGGTGGGGGGCATTAATGTCATTTAAAATCCTCCAAACAAATTACATGAATGATTAATTGCTATTCTTTTAGTCATTTGCACATAAATATGCGAATTTGTAATATAAATTATATACTTTTTTTCTTTATTTTAATTACTTTAATCATAATATATTAACATTATTTGATGTTAACAAATTTCTCGATTTTTTGAATGGATAACAAATGTATAAACTTAATCATTTATTTTATTTGATTCTTTTTTGTCAGTTGATTTTTTTTATCCTCTGACTAATTGATACAATGATTTGACAAACTTGTTAATTCTCTATTTTAATACTTTATAATATATATTTAGGATGTGATTGGTTGCAATAATGGATTGAACATGATATAATCATCTTGATTATATCAAAGCTATCTACCAATTCAATTAACTCATTATCATGTTTGGTTTAAAGTTGAAAATTATATCTTTTAAATTGTAAATTTTATATCCTTCAAATTAATTATTCAGAAATTACGATTAGAATTTTGAGATCGGAAAATGGGATTTGAGATCGAAAAATCAATTCAATTAACTCCATATTGTGCATCAATTAGAAGCGAACCCGACAAGAAGAGTCGTGGCGGGGGCCACCGTGGCCAGCAGATGAAGGAGGAGTGCGGAAGAGGAAGCACGGCGAGTCGAGGTATGAGGGAGGAGGCGCCTGCAGCAAGAGATGGGGGGAGCAAAAGTCGATGGGGTCGGCGGTGATGGAGTGGAAGACGACGGCGTAGAGGGACTGAGGGAGGAGGCACCATCGGACATAAATGGGGTCGAAGGAGCATAAGTCGATGGTTCGAGGAAGGAACTGGCAGCTATGGATCTAACAAAGGGAAAATCATATGAGATGGGATTGGTGGTGGTTGTCGTCGTCATGGTGGTGGTTGTCGTCGTCGTGGGAGAGCTTGACGACGTGGATTTGGCAGAGGAAATGAGAAAGCAACAGAGAAGAGAAGAAGAAGAAATAAGACGTGTATAAGGGAAAAATGATAAATAACGGCGGATCCATAAATTTTCTTGAGCCAGGGCAAAAAATAATTCAAATAAATTTTAATCATATTGCACAAAGTACTTATATTAATAATTAAATAAATCGTTGAAATAATCGGGTGTTGAGGGGTTCCTAAATTAATTTGTCTTTGAATTGATGCTAAAAAATGGAGTTGATAATGAGGTATGGTTAATTTATTTTGCATTTTTATTATTATTAAGAAATATACTAAAAATATTTCACAATCCTTTTTCCTTCCTTTTTTTTTTGTTTGTAATAAGAAATAAACAAATTATTTTAAAATACAACTTAATAATTTAGTTGGTGTATTCGTTTCGGAATTCGAGTGACATTTAAAGACTTTTTATAAGATTTTTGAGGATTTTCAGATTTTAAAAGAATCCTATAAAATACCAAGTTTAAAGGTGGGATTTGTAGTGGGATTTCCTACATGTTTTTTTCTTTAAAAATCCCAGCAAATCTTAAAAAGTCCTTATAAATCCTAACCTTAAATTAGTTAAATACACCTGGATTTCGTAAGACTTTTTAAAATCCTAATTGAATAACTTAAGACCTTTAAAAGTTTTGAAAAATCTAAATTAAATACACCAGAATTTCTAAAGTCCTAAAAATTTTTTAAAAGTCTTTATAAATCTCAATTAAATACATCCCCTCAAAAAAAGCCAAATGTCATCATTTTTATTTAAGAAAAGCCAAATGTCATCGTGATTTATCATGTTTAGCAGAAATTATGTTTTCGTGTTAATTACTATCCTCATGAAATTCTGGTCATGTTTGATGTTTACGCTTCCCTATGTGTTGATCGATCAGCGTTTTTATGGAGCGCCACCGTATACAGCTGTTCCTTCTCCGGCGTTATCAGCCGATTTTGGCCGGAATATATCCTGCACTCGGTTCACCTCTCAATTCAACGATTTCATGCTCGTCGACGGCAGGTAAGCAAAATAAATCTCTATACTGTTGTTTACGATTTCCTTTCAGCACAAAGTTTGTTCGTGCCTCTTCAGAATTATTCAAAAGTGAACTGTACGATGAAACTAACAAAAGGATTATGCGTATTGAATGTTACGATCTCGAGCTACACACTGTAATATTGCATAGACATTCCTCCATTATACAGAATTATTGCATACAGTTCCTTCACACTAGTACTTTCAAACTTGTTCAAACATACAACGTGACGTACAAACCCCTGACTGAAAAATATGAAGTGAAAAAAATATTAAAAGTAGAAAGTAAAAACAACTTCAAGCTGGAATATAGCTGACTTATTTAGGAGACGATGGCTTTGGATGAGTGGATTTTCCTGTAATGGCTTTTTTGACCTTGGCAATTGAATGCTTCACTTTGGATCCAACACCTGATAATATGTTGTGTGATTTCTTGTGAGCAACTTTCACGTCCGCATCTCCTGCATCCACCATGACCGGAGCTTCAGAACACAGCTCTATCTGTTCCGCTTTGTTTGATTCCTCCTCATCGCCTTTTTCTCCGTCTGGTTTTCTTTCTTCATGCTCAGTCTCATCGGCTTTTTCTGCCCCCGGATCTTCATTGTGTGTGGCTGTCTCTTTCTCATGGGCAGGTTGGGTTTGGGAGGCTTCTTTTGGGTACTCCTGAAGAAGGTCCGATTGTGAAGGCTCGTCATTATTTTTATTTTTCAGCAATTTGTGTTCATCCTGGGAACATTCTTCAGCGTTTCCACGTGTAACTGCTGTGATATTGTTGTCGCCAACTGACTTCTCGGGATTTGTGTTCCGCGTATGATCTTCTTCGGAGACTATATGTTTATCATCAGAAGGTATAGGTGTTTCCTTTAGCTCCGTTTCACCAGTGCCTTCGAATCCCATTGGGAGATCCTTCTCTGTTATTTCAGTGTTTGAACATTTGACGTCTGATGATATGGGAAGAGAGGCAACTTGCCCTTTGGTTTGTTGAAGTTTATCAGTCTGAGCCGTATCCTCTACTGAACTCTGTTTAACATCGGACACTGAGATATCTGGAGACTCATAATCTGTTATTTTTTCCTCTTGAGAATTCACCTCTTCTGCCCTTGTGACAGGCTCAGATGTCCTTTCCAGTTGCTGTTCGTCTCTTTCTTCCTGGAGTGTAACAGACATGGGGCCTTTTCGGTTGGCCTCAGCTTCTTGTCCATCACTAGAACCTTTGGCTTCTAGGTGGCCAGTTAATTCTGTGCCTGTTGGTTCTACATTTTCACATTTCTCTGGGGAGTACTTATTCATGGTCGTGGAGTTTTCATTATCTTCTGGCACAAGCTGAGCAGCATCACTGCTTGAAACTTCTATAGTGTCCTTGGTATGAGATGAAAAACCAACCTTCTCCGTCTCAACATAAGTGTTCTTATCTTCATCTTCAGTTAGTATAGTCCAGGTTTCAGCTCTTGTTCCCTCTTCCTCAGTTTTATTGGCTGATTGCATTGGGTTTATCTGTAGAGAATTTTTTGTGTGTGAGAAGGGGGAGGTGGTTGTGCGTGTGAGGGAGAAAGATATTCCAACCTCATATTTTGCTGGTAATTCTCCTAACTCTTCCACAACCTTGTCAATTGCTTCTTCACAAACAGTTGGCACCTGCATGTTGAATGTCATTTCAATGTTTTGAGACAATGGGGTTCATAAAACGTAATAAATATTTGCACTTGCTCTCGAGATTTTTGTCGGTATTTTTATCATCAGAAGGCATAGACGTTACCTTCAGCTCTGTTACATCAGTGCCTTTGAATCCCATTGGGAGATCTTTTATTTCAGAGTTCGAACATTCGACAGCTGGTAAAGTGAGAGGAGAGGCCATTGACCTCTCGGTTTCTTGAGTTTCATCACTTTGAGCTGTATCCTCTACCGAACTCTGCTGAACATTGGACTCCGAGATATTTTCACAGTCATAGTCTGCTATGTTCTCTTGAGAGTTCACCTTGGTTCTTTTTGTGATAGACTCAGAGTTCATTTCCACTTGTTGTTCATCTATTTCTTGCTTGAGTGTTTCTGACACAGGGCCTTTCTGGTTTGCTTCGGCTGCATGTCCTTCACCTGAAACCTTAGCTTCTAGGTGTCCAGTTAATTCTGCTTTTGTTGGTTCTTCGACTGCACATTTCTCTTGGGAGTACTTATTTTTGGTCGTGTTGTTCTTGTTTTCTTCTGGAACACCCTCAGCAGCATCACTCGGTAGAACTTCTGTCGTATCCTCGGTATGAGATGAAATCCCAACCTTCTCAGCCTCAACGTAAGTATTCTCACGTTCATCTTCAGTTGGTTTGGTCCAGGTTTCAGTCCTCGTTGACTCTTGCTCGCCTTTATTGGCTGAATAAATTGGGCTTACCTGCAGGGTATATTACAAACCATTGTTTTTAATAAGTCTATCCATTAGAGTGTGTGACCGTGTTTTTCGCGTGCTTGAGAGAGATTTACCTCGTCTTTTGCATGAATTTCTTGTATTTCTTCTAGATCTTCCAAAACCTTGTCGGCTGCCTCTTCAGGAAATGTTGACACCTGACATGATGAATTACATTTCAGCATTTTGAAGTGAAGTGGCTAACAAGGGGAAGAAAGTATCTGTAGTTGTTCTTGCTGACCTTTTCTGTGGTACTTGGGTTCTTGATGACTTCAGATAATTCTTGTGTCTCTGTATTTTCTTCTGGTTTTACCTGATCTTTGAGGTGTCTCTCTGTGATATCAGCCTTGCAAAAACCAGAATGATCATCTTCAACATCATCATCGTTGTCGTTGATCTATGTTTTTTATTATTTGTTAGTATATCATGATATTCGAAACAACAAAATTGACAAATTGAGTTGAAAAATTAACTGAATTTATAATTGAATTATTGGTACTGCACCTTCTGGCTAGGAATATTGACTTCGACGGTTTCTTTGGATTCAGTTTTATCCTCTACAATAGCTGATTCAGAGACTATCTCTGGTGCTGCTGTTGCTGCTTCAAGACTTTGAACTTGATCAATTGTATCAAGCACCTGTTTTTTCACTTCGTGCTCTGTTTTGCTTTCTTCAAGGGCAAATCCAAGTTCATTTGCATCTGGCTTTTCCTCAATGCCTGAGTGACCATGTTCATTGTTATCTCTTTCGTATGAAGATATTGAAGCTGAGGTTTGTGCAACGCTTGTGTTCTCAACTTCTTGATTTTCATTAGCTCCAGTAGCCGTCTGTACAATTTTTGGAGCTTCAGCATCTGAAGTTGACCTGTCAGCACCATCACCGTCACTTGTATCTCTGATATTCAAAGCTGCAGAAGTGAACTCTGATATTATTTGTTTGTTTGCTTCCTGCTCTTTGTTCTTTTCAAATTCTGTCTCCTCAAAGTCACATGTTGGTGTTTTTCCTGTCAGCACGTCTTCTTTATTTGTTGTCATTTGTGCTTCAGACATGGGGTGATCTAATTCTGATGATACCATGATATATTTTGGAAGCAAGTCATTGGCGAGTGAAACTGATGCACGCTCTGGCTCCTTGGTTTCCACTGCAGTTTCAACTGAGAGTACTTTCTCATCATTATATTTTGCTTTCTCTTGCTCTCTTTCACCAAGTTTTTCATCTTTTTGATTGGTTTGATCTTGTGTGATTTCACTCTCTTGCAAGTCTTTGTTTTCTGTTGGTTTCTTATCTGTAGCAGGTAGAGATTCTTCCTCTAGCTTTTGTATTTCTTGAGGGATAACAGAATCTGTAACACTTGCCGGACATGGTTTTTCGTCATGTTCTAATTTTTCCATGGCTGAATCCTGGGCAAGTGCTGAAACACGAAGCTCCTCATCTTGTTTTTGAGCTTCTTCATTAACAGCCTCGAGCCACGTTTCTTCTATGGGATTTAGACTAGGCTTGGGTGCTGAATCTTTTTCGGACACGACATCGGATGATAGAACTTCCTCTAATGCAACAGAGTTGGAACTAACATTGGATGATGGAACTTCCTCTAATGCAACAGACTTGGAACTATCTGACTTGTGTTTGATGTTGTCTGATATTTTTCTGTCTTCTCCATCGTTCAAGTTATTTGATTCTGATACATCCTTGTTATTTCTTGACTCCGTGTCTTGTTTCAGTTCTGCTTTGGTCTCTTCATCTTGAACTCGAGCATCTGTGATTGAGCTTTCAGTTGGGTCACTTTTGACTAGACCGCCATTTTCTGGTACTTTGGTGGGGCCACCCTCTGCCACTGTCTTCTTCTGTGCATCAATCTTAGTAGAATCCTGTACTGATGGTTCAGATTTTGAGCTGGTAACGTTGGTCACAAGCTCATTGCTTATCTGCACATGTTCATCTGATGCATTTAGGCCAAGTGATTCCTCTTGGTTGCAATTATGACCTTCGGTAAAATCCACCACCGTGTCTTTATAAACATCTGAAACTTGTGATCTTGGGATCTCAACAGCTAATAATTTTGAGGCCATTTCCTGTGATTTAGTACTTAAAAATAAGTTTCAATAGAAGAATGCAAATTCAGGTATACCTAGCCGCTAGAAACATTCAAGAGGTGTTGTATCAAGTCATTTCATCATTAGCTACTAACTTGACATGCTCCATACAAGGTGAATTCGACATGGATTCTTTGCCCCTTTTAACAAATAACCGCCCACCGTTTAATAATCGCTTGCAGCATGTTTCTCTTTTCTTAATTTTCTTTGTTTGAACTAGTCTGAGTCCACAATATTGATGTTTCCCAATTAAAATGAAAGATGCTACAACTGAATGCAAATGCAATATTATTATTAGCATGAAATATTACCAAGAGAACCTTGCTGATTTACTAAGAACTTGGAAGAAAATAAATCATGATTGCTGATTATTCAGTAATTAAGTGATATGTCAGGTTGGCTTTATTATTATACATTATAATTGAACCAAATTGTGTTAGATTATTTTATTAACCTGAATACCACTCGGTAAATAAAGAACTGGTGTGTGCATTCATTGTTGTAGACTTTTCTTGCAGTAAAAAAAGGAAATATATGCTAGAACAAACCAAATAAGAACTGCAATTATGTGTAAACTAAATGTGTTACAATAACGACTAATGGTATGCTTACCTTGGAATTATCTTCATTTAGGTCAGTTGCACCAGTTATAACCTCTACCCGATTGTCCACAGTTTTTTCAACTAAAGTTTGATCTGCTTGAGAAATTGGTTCTCTGTCTTTGCCTGATGCAGATGCTTCAATCTCCTCTGTTACTTGCAAGGACTCGTCAGTTGTTTCTTCCTTTATCAATGCATCGTGTGTGATTTTCTCATTTTCAACAATGCCAGCTATTAAAGAGCCTTCACTAACAAGTCTGGACTCATGATGAGCGACATTCCCCGTGAAACCTTCAGCCAAACATGGCTCTTGTGAGCCATCTACTCTAATAGGTGAGTGGTCTTCATTGTCGCTACTGGGAATATTTGCTTCAGTATCCTTTGAGGGGAAAAATTAAATTTGTTCAGTTCATTGTTATACATATTTTTAATCTATTAATAATAGCACATGTGCTAATTAAGTTAAATGGTTTTCATCCAAACCTCAGTAATGTTTCCCATAAAATCTTCTGCAAAAGTAGTTTGTTCAGATTCATTTGGTTTGGTTGCTGAGGATTCTTCTTTGTCGAATTCTAGAACATTGGTTGCAATATCCTACAGCAAGAATGGAAAACTTGTGACTTTTTTTTTTTTCAATTAATGATTCTTCATGTTCTTATTTTTCCTTTGTTGTTAGTATAAGTGGTAATTTAGCCAACAGTATTAGAACTCAAGAAATATAACGATTTTCATCTGAATCTCAAAGACGCTCTCGTTAGATGTCTCTGATAAAAGCAGATTCTGTGAACCATCTACCTTGGTTGTCGAGTAAATTTCCTCGTCTCCACTTATACTATTTAAAGCAATATCTTATGGTAATAAATATGAACTTATAAGTTTTTTTAATATTGTCCTATAATTTTTTCCTGTTCATACCTGGTCCTCGTAATGTGAGTGCTAATTAAATAGTGTTATACTGTTTGTACGATTTTCACCTGAACCTCCTGAATTTCCCCCTTCCCGTTGGTTTTATCATTTGATAATTTGCCACCTGAGATTTCATGTGGATCGACAGCCATGTCTTGTTGCTCAATAAAACTGGTCTCTGTGTCTTGAGTTGAAGTAGGTGCCTTAGTATTCTCTGAAAGTACATGAACAGAATCCATGGGTTTCTCCATCTCTGGTTCTTCCTTCCACAAAGCATTTTCTGTGGTGTGTGCCTTCTGAGCTTCTGTAAATGGTGGATTTGCACTTTCATTTACCAATTGTTCAGTGCTTTCAATTTGGGAGCAATCGGTTTGTATTAGTGACTTCTCTTGTGCTTCTTCAGATGGGGTAGTCGTTGCGGTATTCTGCAGTAAGAATAAACCACCCATTAAATCCATTTAGTTAGTATAATAAGATATGGCTTGATTGCAGGACATGTGCTTTTCTGATAATAAAGTGTATTTACTAGTATGATTCTGACCTTATCTTCAAGATTTCCTTCCTCCAGACCAGTAGCATCTATTGTTTTCTCCACTTTGTGATGACTTGTTATTTCTTGAAAATCTGTGATTAGGCTTTGCGCCTCTTGTGACCTTATTTCACTTTCTTGAGTTGTTTCAGCAACCAAAATACCTTCTGCACATCTCTCATTATCAGTTAAGTTGACTTTTGTTGAGTTGTCATCCTCAAATTTTGCTTCAGCAAGAATTGGTGGCTCAACATCGATGTTGTTCCCAGTTGAATCATTTCTAGGAGATGGTTCGTGAAGTTCATCTACTTCCACTGGCGAGTTATCTTCATTTTCTCCACCCGAAACATTTTTCACAATATCCTGTGACAAGAAAGACAAAGTTAATCTTGTTCATTTTGTGGAATAAATATCGAGTTACTTTTTTCCCTCATAAACTAGACATATTATTAAATATGCGGAAAGTAAGCTTCAGTCAGACTTTAGGTTATAATATAATTTTATTTTGTACCTCAACAACTTTTTCCTGCTCGTAAGGTCCACCAATGGTTTTTTCTTCTGATTTGTCACAGAAGATTTCTTGTGGATCTGCAGGTGGGACTTGCTCCTCTTTAACTGAAGCAGATGCTTTATCATCAGTTTCTACTTGCAATGACACAATATGTGTTACTTCCTTAACTGAAGCACCTCCATTCTTCTCATGCGTGTCTGTTGGCACATCGTCATCGCCTTTCGCAGTTAGAACTTCTTTCTGCGTGCCATCGCCTTTGAGCGGTGATTCGTCTTTATTGCCTCCATCTAGATTATTTCTTACAATATCCTGTAGCGGGAACAGAAATGTAAACCAATTCAATTGAAAGAAGTAACATTTTATGTATTTGTGCTGTTCAAGTTCAACCTAGTGATTTATTGTTCACTTATGTGCTAAATAAGATAAAACTCTTAAAGTTTGGCTGTTGCTTTAATTTTATACCTGGAAATCAAGGATATTCGACTCAGTTGTATCATCAGCCTTTTCATCATTTCTACCACTTGAAATTTCTTGTAAATCTGGGGTCTGAATTTCTTCCTTATCATGACTAGTTTTTGTGTCTTGAGTTGAATCAGATGCTTGAATATCATCATGAGCTACTTCATAGAGATCTATAAGCTTCTCCACATGTCCTTCTTTCACTGAAGCAGAAACTATATTTCTCTCCTTTTTCCATGATTCAACTTCTATTGAGTCCTCGTTCCTTTCTTCAAGCTTACTCAAAGTGGACTTACTGTCATTGTTCTCCTCGGTGAGAGCTTCTGTGAAAAATGAAGTTTTACATTCTTTTCCCAACTGTTCATCATGTTCCTTACGTGAGCCATCCGGTTGGATCACTAAGGTTTCTTCAGCGTATTCTTGTGGAAATTTTGTTGCACCATTCTGCAAGAAGAAAAAAATTTAACTGTGTCAAGTATAAGGAGAAGTGGTAATATTAATTATGCATTCCGCTAACAGTTAATAACTGTTAAGCAATTGGTTAACTGGTGTTAAAATCAATATATTGTACTGCTGCATAATTTTACCTTGAGATTTTCTTCATTTGTGTCGATTGCATCAAGTCTTTTTTCATTTATGACTGACTGAGGGTTTGCAGTTACACTTTGCTCATCAAAAGAGCACGTTGCTTCTATGTCTTCACTTGAGGGAGATATGTGATCCTCTGGAGCGTCCTGTAAGTTCTCTTTCGTCACCAAGTTACTATCTGTAATTTTTTCACCATCTGAAAATCCAACTTCTCTTGTATGTTCATTAACAAGTATGGGTTCATGCGTAGTGGCTGACTCGCCTTCATTGGCATCCTTGCTTGAAGCTTCTATTACTGATGGTTCTTGCAAATCTTTTACCAAATCTAAGTCCTGCTTCATATCTGAGGCGTCCAGTTGAATTGATGAGCTCTTGTCACTATCATCATATTGAATGAGAGATTTGCTTTCACTATCCTCATTTGACACACTTATCGCAACATTCTGCCGAAAATGGATTCCATGCTAACAGTTAATAATTGTTAAGTGATTGTTAACTGGTATTAAAATCTGTTTACTGTAATGCTGCTCAACTTTACCTCAAGATTTGCTTCGTTTGTGTCTATGACATCAATTCTTTCTTCATTTATGACTGACTGAGGGTTTGCAGTTACACTCTGCTCATCAAGAGAGCAAGTTTCTTCTATGTTTTCTCTTGAGGGAGATGGCTTGTGATCCTCTAGAGCGTCCTGTAAGTTCTCCTTTGTCACCAAGGTACCATCTGTAGTTTTGTCACCATCTGAAAATCCAACTTCTCTTGTATGTTTATCAACAAGTACGGCATGTTTAGTTGTTGACTCGCCTTCATTGGTATCCTTGCTTGAAGTTTCTATTAATGATGGTTCTTGCAAATCTTTTACCAAATCTAACTTATGCTTCATATCTGAGGTGTCCAGTTGAATTGATGAGTTCTCATCACTATCATCATATTGAATGTGAAAATTCCTTTCCTTGTCTTCATTTGACACACTCATCTCAACATTCTGCAGAAAATGGATTCCGCATTAACTGCTAATAATTGTTAAGTGATTTGTTAACTGGTGTTAAAATATATATATATTGTAATGCTGCTTAACTTTACCTCAAGATTTTCTTCATTTGTGTCTGTGACATCAATTCCTTTTTCATTTATGACTGACTGAGGATTTGCAGTTACACTTTGCTCCTCAAGAGAGCAAGTTGCTTCTATGTCTTCACTTGAGGGAGATGGCTTGTGATCCTCTGGAGCGTCCTGTAAGTTCTCTTTCGTCACCAAGGTACTATCTGCAGTTTTGTCATCATCTGAAAATCCAACTTCTTTTGTATGTTCATCAACAAGTACGGTGTCATGCGTAGTTGTTGACTTGCCTTCATTGGTATCCTTGCTTGAAGCTTCTACTATGGATTGTTCTTGCAAAACTTTTGCCAAATCTAAGTCATGTTTCATATCTGAGGTGTCCTGTAGAATTGATGAGTTCTTGTCACTATCATCATATTGAATAAGAGAATTCCTTTCGCTGTCCTCATTTGACACACTTATCGCAACATTCTGCTGAAAAATGGAGGAAAAGAAAATGAAAGGAAAGGCAAAAAAAAAATAAAAATAGAAAAACTAACATCCTTCATTAAGGTGTTCCACTCTAGCATATGTCAAGTATTGATTACACAGCTCAACTAGAGTATGATATTCTGACCTGCTGCTCTTCAGTTTTATCCTTGGAATCACATGGATCAGCTGTTTCTTCCTCTGTTGTCTCGTCCAAGGTTCTATGGGGATTTATTATTGGGCTCTGGTTCTCAAGAAAATCTGTTTTTTCTTTGTCGTGACCCGAATCAGTTGCTTTTGTGTACTCCACTACTGCAGAGAAGGATTCTGAAGGCTTACCTGTATCCAATTCTTCCTTCAGAAAATCACTTTCTTTAATTTTCTCCTGCAATGATTCTGCTCCATTTATATCAAGTTTGACCTCATCAGTCACAGCTAATGCATTATCACTGGGATTCACTATGGAGTCTTGTAACAATGATGGTTTCACATTGTCCTCCAAATGCTCATCGTCTTTCTTTTGGTGTCCATCAACTTGGATCAACAAGTTTTCTTCCGTCTTCTCGTTTGAAGCTATTGTCGAGACATTCTGCATACAGAACCATAGGTTTGTTAGCTCTGGGTTGAAATAAAAATAATAAATGATTCATATAAATAGTTATTTATATGGAAGAATTCATTTGATATGTTGTAAGGTGTGTGTAATTATGTTATAAAATGCTATGAAATTTCTGACCTGTACCACAGGAGTTTCCTCCTTTACTTCAGCTGGATCAATTGATGTTTCCTCTGTTTTCTGATCCTGGATTATTTGTGAAGATGCTGTAGCACTTTGCCCCTCTGAAGAAACTGTTTCCACCTTGTGTACCGAATTGTTTATTGAGGATGGTGTGTGGTTGTCTTTCTCCAAATTTTCTTCATCTTTATTTTCTGAGTCTTGCTTTTGGATCAATGAGTTATCTTCCGTCTTCTCATTTGAAGCAAATGTTCGATCTTCCTGCAACAACAATAAGTTCGTTGACTCAAGTTCCTTGACTTTGTTGAGTTTAAGGAGTGACTTTTTGTTCATTTATTTATATTTGTGGAAAAGTTCCATTGATACTCCATGGATGCAAAATAAGCTAGTTCCATTGAAGGTCAAAATGCTACAACATTTCTGACCTGCAGTTGAAGAATTTTATCATTTTTTTCAGCTGCATCAATGGAAATTTCATCTGTTTCTCCATCCGAAATTACTCGTGTTGCTGCATTTTGTTCTTCAAAAGAACTTATTTCTCTAACAATGCTCAAATCGAACTTTTTATTTTCTATGGAATCTGCATTCAGGGGATCTTCTGGCTTCTCAATTTTGGATTCTTTCTCCAGAAAATCAGTTTCTGTATATTTCTCATTTTCATCCATTTCATATTCTCTTAGTTCTCCATCCATGATTCGAGCTTCATGGATAACTACTGACTCATCAGTGGCTCCCCTTATCAAGGATTGTGGCTGATTCACCTTTTCACCATCTTTTTCTGGGGACTCTTCAAATTTTGCTTCTGAGACATCCGCTTCAATCAAATGCTGTTCTTCCGTTGCCTCATTTAAACCAGTTGTTGAGAAGTTCTGCAACAAGAATAAGTATTCACCAACTTGGTGAGCTTTCAAAGATTTTATATTATTTTTCCAGAATAAGGACATTTATTTCTCACATGTATCAAAATCAACTATAATGGCAACAGGAAGTTCATATCTTCATCTGATGCTTACCTGTACCTCAACAGCTTCCTTCTGTAGGTCAACCTTATCAATTGTCTTTTCAACCGTACCATAACTTGTGGTTCCTTGTAGAACAGCATCTGGGTTGCCCTCTTCGGAAGAACATGACATAATTGTTGGCATACTCTGCAATAAGAAGGAAAGGTCAATAAATTGAATGAGCTTAAGAGTATATGTTTTTCTTTCTTTCTTTCTTTCTTTCTTTCTTTCTTTTTTTAATTCCCAGAGTGGTGCTAGAAGGTAATGAATTTTTTCTTAGTATGACTCTTTTCCGTACCTCAAGAATTTCTTTCTGTGTCTCTACTGCATCAATGTTTTTTTCTACTGTAACGCCTCTTGTGATTCCTTCGAGACTCACATTTTGCATTTGCTCTTCTGAAGAAGTTTTTTCCTTATCTTGGCTCAAATGAGACGCTTTAAGATTACCAGTGACTACATGCACGGTCTCTACGGATTCATCCTTCTCCTGCTTCAGCAAACTAATTGTATTCTTTTCATTTTCAAACAGTTCAACTCTGTTGAGTTCTTCATCCTCATCTTTGGCCTTATCATTGGCTGCTGATTCAGTTGGTGCTTCAGTCAGTGGTAGTTTTTCGCTTCCATTTTCCAATTTTGTATTACCCCCAATCCTTGAGTCATTTGATTCTTCAGTATTTTCTTGGATTGTTTTCGAGCAATTCTCCTCATTGGCAGCAATATCTAATGGGTGATCATCTAATTTAGGGTCTCTAGCGTGCAAAATCTCAGTTTCATCTTTCACTGTTTGATTTGGCTTTTCGGAACCCATGCTGGCATTTGGTGAAATGTAGTTTACCTCAGCATGAACTTCATCAGCAGAGGTTGTTTCCAAAAAATAATTACCCTCAGTTGTAGGTCTCCTAGGCTGCTCATCAACTAGAGTCTTTTCTTCTTGGGGAAGAGTATTGGTAGAATTGTTGGTAGCCTCAATGAGCTCCATTTTCTGTGTGAGATTTTGTTTGCGACCGTTAAATTACGAGGATGCATAAGACGGTAGCATGCAGATTAATATTAGACAGAAAGCATCAATTTTGGTTAAATAAAACACAACTAACCTAATCACTACAACGTATAGTCAGTTGCATTATATAAACAAATTGCATTTTTTCTTTTCTTTTTTCTTTTTCTCCAATGTGATGCTAGAAGGAACTGGTATTTTTCTTATTATTTCTATTTCCCGTACCTCAAGAACTTCCTTCTGTGTCTCTGTTACATCAATGCTTTTTTCTTCAGTAACGCCACTAGTGACTCCATCAAGACTCACATTTAGCATTTGTTCTTCTGAAGATTTCTTTTCCTTATCTTGGCTTAAATGAGGCGCTTTAAGATTATTGGGGATTACTTGCAAGGACTCTACAGATTCATCTGTCTGTTGTTTCAGTAAATTAATTGTATTCTTCTCATCTTCCAGCAGTTCAACTCTGTTGAGTTCTTCATCCTCATCTTTGGCCTTGTCAATAGCTTCTGATTCAGTTGATGCTTCAGTCCGTGGCAGTTTTTGGTTGAGTTCATCATCTTCATCTTTGGCCTTATAAATCGGTGCCGATTCAGTCAATGCTTCAGTCGGTGGCAGTCTTTTGTTGAGTTCTACGTCTTCTTTGGCCTTATCAGTGGCTGCCCATTTAATTGAAGCTTCAGACAGTTGCAATTTTTCGCTTTCGTTTTTCAATTCCTTATCACGCCCAATCTGCGAGTCATTTGATTCTTCAGTATTTTCTTGGATTGTTTTCGAGCTAGCCCCTTCATCTGAAGCAATATCTAGTGGTTCACCTAATTTAGGGTCTCTAACCATAAAAATCTCATTTTCATCTTTCACAGTGCGGTTTGCCTTTTCGGTAGCCATGCTGGCATTTGGTGAAATGTTATTTACTTCGGGATGAACTTCATCAGCTGAGGGTTTGTTCAAAAAATCATTCCCCTCAGCTGTAGAAGGTCCCTTCGATGCATCAGCTGGAGTCTTTTCTTCTTGAGGTACCATTTTGATTGAATTGTTGGTAGCTTCAATGGGATCACTTTCCTGCGATAAGGTTTTTTGCGACTTTTAAATTATTAAGATGCATAAGTTGGTGGCATGCAGATCAATATTAGACAAGAAGCATCATTTAGTTAAATGAAAAACACTTAATAATATATGTACAATCTATAACATGGGATTCAGTAATATTTTTATGTTTCATGTTCTCTCTGTCAAATGTTTGGTGATTCATGAGTTATATTTTAATTCCTGGAGACCTTCTCCATAACCATAAAAATTAGCATAATTTACTGTTTATAACTTTTCCATTATTTTCATAACTCAATGGTTTAACTTCGTCGTTTGATAATCTGTGTCTACCCGTTTGCTCGAAACCTGAAAGTGATATTACCCTTTATTTCAGGATCCCGTAGGTGTATTGAACTTTTATCCTACTGTACTTTTAGCTGGAGACTTTAAAGTAACCCCTTTTTGAGATTTTGATAATGGTCCTAGAGGTGGATCTATGTTCTACTTGACAGCTGATCATAATAAATATAATCTGGATTCACACCTATAAAAAGTCGTGCAGCATCTAGTTCACACGACGACTGGGTTATAGAACACATAGTACATATTACCTCAGATGTATTAAGAAAATAAACCAAATCATAGGTTCACACAACATGCAACAAAACCTCAGAGTTTGAGTGATTGTATATAGTACTCATAGATCTTCTACTGTACTTACAACTGCAAGTCATCATCAAGTACTTATCAGAATTGGGATATTACTTACTGCTTCACACACAGGAGCTGGAATATTCTTCACTTCAGTTTCCATGTCACAAGTAAAAACTGTATACTGCCACCTGGAATCTGCAAGGAATCAGATCATCAAATTCCTCAACACATCTGAGGTTTTTAAGGCAAGTATTCTTATTTTTCAGTTGCACTGTTTGATCTTCTCATCATAAGCATAAACAGAGTGGTGTCTGAGTTTTTAACATATGATCATATATAAATGGGGTAGAAATGTTAATAGTGTTCTGATTGAAACGTTGCTGAAGTTGCTAAAGCTGACAAAATGCCACTTATGCT